AGGCGCGGTGGCTCACGCCTATAATCCCAGCCCTTTGGGAGGCTGAGGTGGGTGGATCATGAGGTTAGGAATTCGAGACCAGCCTGGCCAACATGGTGAAACCCCATCTCTACTAAAAAAACAAAAAAATTAGCCGGGCGTGGCGGCGCGTGCCTGTAGTCCCAGCTACTCAGGAGGCTGAGGCAGGAGAATCGCTTGAACCCAGGGAACGGAGGTGGCATTGAGTCGAGACTGCGCCACTGCACTCCAGCTTGGGCAACAGAGCAAGACTCCATCTCAAAAAATAAAAATTAAAAAAAAAAATAAACGTAAGTCAATTCAAATGACATGAAATGGAATTTCTATTCCTCAGCCACAGTCGCCCTGTTTCAAGTGCTCACTGGCTACATGGAGCTGGTGGCTGCCTATTGGACAGTGCATGTACAGAATGCTTCCGTCACTGTAGACAGTTCTGTTGGTCAATGCTAGATCATCAGCCCCATTTTATAGGGGAGGAAACTGAGGCTCAGAGATAAAGCAGAAAAGAGAACGGGGATGGGCACTCAGGGTTGACTGGTCTTGTGAGCCTCCGATGGAGAGAGAGGGTTTGGGGAGAGGCTGTGTGTCTCTGCGTGCTGCACATCTGTGATGACAGGGGCATCTGTACATGCACGCACATGTGTGCAAGTGTACTGTGGGACTTCCCTGGGTCTCTTCTCAGCATCTCCTAAGCTGTTGTCTGTATCCACCATTTTCTATTTTAGTCTCTCTCTCCAGGTGTCTTTGTCTCCGTCTCTTGGATTTTCTCTGTCCATCTTTTGGTGCCTCCAAATTCCCCTCTTTCTCCCTGGTTCTTTCTCTGCTCCGTCTCTCTCTCTGCCTCATCTTCAATCTCTCCTGGGTCTCTGTCTTTTTCTGTGACTCTGTTCCTCTTCCTGAGATTGCCTCTGTCTTATGTTGGGATCTCCGCACCTGCACTGGTATTTTTCTCTGTGTGCTCCTCAGCCCTCAATTTTTAAATCTCTTCATCCCTGGATCACAGCCCACCCCGAGCAGTGCCCATCTTCAGTCTCCTCACCCCGGCCTCCTCTCTGTCCCCCACCTGTGTCCCCAGCCTGTCAGTCCCCCTCGCATTCCCCCTTTCCAGGCCAAGGGCAAGGAATCTGGGCCAAATAGCTCCCCCTATCTCTCCAGCCCCCCTCCCCTCCCAGCCATAAAAATAGCAGGAGAAATTGGGACGGACGCCGAGGGGGTGAGGGCGGGGGCGCGGCCCGAGGAGGAGAACCAGGTGTCCGGGCACTCACGTCCGTCTGGGGGCCCTTCCCAGCGCCTGGACACTCGAAGGTCACAAATTCGTGGCATCGTCGATGAACCACAAAGCTGCAGACTAAAGGTGAAAATCATAGAGACACAGATGGAGGCACGGATCGATCCAGAGGGAGACCCCAGCGGACAGAAAATTGGAAAGAGAGAGCAGAACTCGGAAACAGAGAAAACCAGAAAGAGGGATCTCAACACAGACAGTCCAACAGAGAGAAAATCGGAGGCCAGAGAGAGAAGCAGGAGACAGAAACCCAAGAGACAGGTTCAGAGGCAGAAACAGAGACGCAGAGACTCACAGAGAGACACAGAGCACAGAGCCCAGGGAAGGGAGATGGAAAAAGAGAGAAAGAAAATAAGATCCCATTGACAGACAGACACAGGCCCACGGACCGAGATCAGAAAGCGAGGAGAGAGGCAGACAGATTCAAAGAGCAAAAACCGAAATATCTTCAGACGCAGCCCAGGAAGCAGCAACTTGGGCAGAAGTGAGTCTGGGGGCGCTGTGCCGGCCCGCCCCCCACCCTGACTCACTCTGTTCTCAGCAGTGGCAGCTGGTGCTCAAGGACTCGCCCCCCTCTCCCGCCCCCCA